ACAGGCACACAAGTGATCTCACAGAGACTGTGGCAACATGCACAGGGCCTGCACTGGTCTGTACCTGATGGGGCGAAAGTGGATGTGTTCACATTCCTCCATTCCTAACCCAGTAGCTGTTTCCAATTGCTAAGCAATTGCAAATGAAAGTCTAATTTTTTCCAAGAGAGTCTCACTGAGGAAACAAAAGCTCCTTCTAAGTATAGGATACAAAACTAACACTAGATTGCCAACAGAAAAGAAACTCAATGGTGTCTTTGAAGCATCCTTGTGTCATAATGTCCTGTCATGCTTCTCATTTTTTTCTGTTTTGTATTTTATTATGTATTTTGTGTATGTATTATGGCTTCTCATTTAGTGGTTTTATGAGATTCCTGAGAGCGTGAACAAGTGGGTCTTTGTGTCTATATCTGTTTTTGTGTGCTCTCTTGGGCAATTTTCCTCTTGTGTGGTAGTTTTGTACTATTCTGATGTGCTAGTTTTTGTTTGATATACTGCTATATTATATTTTATTTTATAAATTTTCTTTAGAAGCCTGATTGTTTTCTAGTGAGAGATAGAATGGAGTTAGGTCTGAGCAGGAGGAGTGATGGGGAGGAACGTGGAGAAGAACAGAGTGGGGAAACTGTAATTAGGATATATCATGTAAGAAAAAAGATATTTTCCATCAATAAAAAGGAAAAATAAAAAATATAAAAAATATAATTGGAAACCATCATATCTAAGCAAATGATGTGTAAGACAAATATTGCAAAAACAGAATATTTTGAGCCCCAAAACTTCCAAGATATCATTGATTTCATTTTTTAATTTTGTTGTTTATTGAAAATAGATTTTTTTCATGCACCATTTTGTTATCAGGGTTTTCCTTCCCCCACTCCTCCCAGATCTCCTTCACCTTCCTACCCACCCCAAAACACATCTTTTCTCTTGCCCTCATTAAAAACACACAGACATGCAAAATAAATAAGTGAATAAAAATAATCCACAATAGGAAACAAACAAATAGAAAAAGTCATCAATCCCCACTGAGTTCATTTTTTTTTTGTTGCCATCTACTGCTGCGCATAGGGCCTGCCCTTCAGTGTCCTTTGTGTGTCCTGTGTGACCTCATGGGAGAAACCAATTTTTCCTTTCATTTCCTAAGCAGGTTTAATTTTCTGCAGTGATTAGCTGAAAAAGATGGCTTTTTCTTTTTAAATCATCTGAAGTAACAAAAAAATTGGTCATAAGAGGAAGGGAAATTGTCTTCGTTTTTGTTTTTTGAGACAGGGTTTCCATGTGTAACAGCCCTGGCTGTCCTAGAACTTGCTTTGTAGACCAGGCTGGTCTCAAACTCACTGAGATCCACCTGCTTCTGCCTCCTGCGTGCTGGCATTAAAGCCATGAGCCACCATTGCCCAGGTGGAAATTCTTTAACATTAGCTCATTCATGATATATTGGGAACCACAGTAAACTTTGTCAGAAGTTCAGAGGGACAAAGCAACAAGCCCCTGACAGTTCTTACCTCTAGGACTCCTCAGCATGAAAAGTCCTCAGCTGATAGGATTCAGGTTGAATGAGCTTCCTCAACCAAAAAGTCTACCACTCTTTGACTCTGTTTATCTCCTAGATTGAGTCAATCATATGTAGTACAGGGTGGCTTTGAACTCACGGACATCCAGACGATCTCTGCCTTAGGAGTGCTAGGATTAAAGGTATGTGCCACCACTGTCTGGCATCTATGTTTAATCTAGTGGCTTTTTCTGTTCTCTGATCTTCAGGTAAATTTTATTAGGGTGCACAATATATCACCACATTTCCACATTTTTGTCTAAAATAATAAGAGGTTATAGCTAATATAAGAAAAAATGATATACAATAAGTATATACAATACATACAGTCAAGAATTACGTTAACAATGTCCAGTCCATTAACATTTGACAAATTCAGACAAAGAGCTCCATTATTTATCCTATTTTAGTGAGTCCAAAATGTTGTATCTAATTCATTTTCTACCCTACCTTGTATTACCAACCGAAAACTGTCTTTTGATGTCTTTCAGACTTGTACACCTTATGCCTCTGTAGTGAGTTTCTTTTCTGCATTTGTTAGCATGGAAAACGATAGCTATAACTATCTAATCTTCAGAGCACATGCTCTTTCTTTAAAATGTAATAAATACTTGATGGTGGAAAACATACCTGGACAGATTACCTCCCTAAAGTTAGTTTTGACTCTAGATCAAAATTTATTAAACTAAGCAATGTTCAATTTAATTCTTATAGTAACAAGGACAAGTACTTTGGAGAGAGACATAAGGTACAACAAAGACATTTCCACACTCAGACCCCACACTTTATCCTAAAACTTCTTTAAAACACAACTCTCCAGTTCTAATATTCCAATATTCTAACAAAATCCAAAAATACATATCAGCTCATATATATAAGGACTGTGGTGACTTCTGGACAAATAGTTGCTCATCATTTTTATCATTTACTTCTCTGTTCCCTGTGAGAAAAATTATCTGAAATGAAAAATGTAATGGCAGATAGGCTTTAAGCTTCCTTGTTTTTAAGAGATATCATCAATATTAAAGAGCAGACATATTAGGATTCAGGAGAGCTGCAGGTGGTGAGATTTTAGTGTATCAACTCTTTACAGAGTAGAGTACAAAGAACCTGAACTGGAGGCCAGAACCTGAGGTAGGTAGAACCCTCAAAAGTCTGTGAATAATGACCTACTTTTACCATATAGGCCCAAACTCTTCAAAATTCTACAATCTCCTCGTATAACCAGAACCTCAGTATCACAATCAACTGAATTAGAGAAAGAACAGCAGCCATAAATAAAAATATCCCCAAATTCAGACACACACCCAACACCTAAGTGTAGTATTGAGATGATATGATCCACAATGCACCATCCATTAACATCTGGTCTGCTTGCTATATAACACACAATGTGGGTTCAACTCCACACCATGCATATGGCTTTCCTCAGCAAAAGACGTCCCAGATGCAATACCCTCTGAGGCCCTCCCTCCTCACAGGACTCTGGGCATGTCTCACAACACTGGTCAGTTAAGTCAGAAACCATGATGCACACTTCCTTGGGCTCCTTAAGTTTGCAACTCTTTACTTCCTGCAACACAGAACCATTTTTAAAATTCTAGTATGCACTACCACCATCTTAAACTGTACCCTGATGCCTTGGGTTATAGTTACAGTAGTCTCTCTGTGATAATCCATGGGAATATGTCTGTATTTGATCACTCTCTAGCAGGGATCCATCTCATCAGCCTTTTCAGTCAAATACATTCCAAAGGAATTGACATATTCTCATTTATAGTCTTCTATGGGTGCTCTTTTAAACCGAAGGGACCCCAAATATTATCACTGTGCACAGCTTAAGTTTTCTGTTTAGTATAATACATGTCTTTGTCAATTCCAGGAGCTTTGTCATAAACTTCCTACAGTGTTAAATCGCCAGGTTTGACCCAAGATCACGGAATTACTTATTTCTTGTTATTATTTCTTTTAAGATTTGCACTCAGTCCCTTCCCCTCAGTTACCTTAGATCTAACACCTGTCTGTATCTCTTAAACTTTCTGTCCTAGTTTTCAACCATCGAGTAAAATGAGTCCTGTCCACGTATATGTTTGGACTGCATTCCACTGGAACATAGTGGAGTAACCCAGGGTATAACTATAGATGAAATTTCATACTACTTCTCCCCATGCATGTGTCAAATGCCAATTACTCCTCTGCTAGTGGTAGATCTTCATGGCTACCTCCAATCTCAATTCAGGAATTTGGTCCCCCGTGTGTTTGCACTAGGCTTGTGCATGCTGTCACACTTAATGTGAGTTCATGACTCAACTGCCTTGTTGTGTACTGAGGACACTGTTTCCTAGAAGTAATCAACACTGTCTGTCCCTTAGAATCTTTCTACTCCTCCACAGTGATCCATGAACTGGTGATGAGGTGATACAATGTAAATGTCCCTAAGGCTGATCATTATACACTGGTGTTCTATGTACCTAGGCCAATAGCTTGTCGCAGTGTTAGACACCACCTGCTCTGAATAGAAGCATTTTTTGCATTACTTAACTTTGACATCACTATTTTCACAGTTTGGAATATAACACCTGTTTGAATAAAAATTTAATACTTCATTGTGTGTGATATCACAATGTAAAAAGAAATTTGGAACTCAGCAGCCTAAATACAATAGGTAATAATGCCGGACTCACATTTATAATCTTAAAAAATAAAAATTATAAAGCTGAGAAGTCTCAATGTGGAGAGAAGTTTAGACAGTATTTACATGGTACCAGATGAGTATAAAGGTTCAAGGTAACAAAGGGGAAGTTCATTCTTTGGCATGCAAGAAAGGAAGAGCACTGGAATCCACAAAGGAGTAAGGACCCATATAAAGAGGAAACCAGAAAGGCAATGTGGAGAAAGGAAGGGAACAGTCCACTCTTCCCACATGGAGACCAGGCGATAGTAGATGGGAGGACCCACAGAGGATACGACATCTGGCCAAAGAGACCTGTTTCTGAAAGACTCGCGTTCCATTTCAAATGAGAGACATGTGTTGTTGGTGTGTGTCAACCTAGTGGAGAAATTTCCTGTGACAGTCTTCAAGGCAGACTAGATTTGTGAACACAGGGACTCCATTTATTCACAATTGATAGAGTACTATTATCAGGGGCCCACTGGACAGTTTATGGAAGAGACAAATCCCAAGGAGCCTGGGGATCACACTGACTGAATTTGTGTGTGTCAGGTGGTCCAATAGACAGGCATGAACATTGGCCTGTTCAGATGCAGATACTCTGACTAAAGTCAAGAAGAAAGAACCACAGATGACTGTATCTGTCATGGCACCTAAAATGTAACTTGACACTTCTGACTAGAGACACATGCTTGAGATTGCATTAGTGCTATTTGGATAGGTCAAGGAAATGTCAGAAGAATATTGAGATGACAAATGCCATATAACCAACGGGACAACTCTGCTGATGTCCATGCCATTATTTCCTCCCATTGGGTTGACTTGTGTTTCTATATCTGAAGTTAAATAAACCCTGCCTCCTGTAAGTAGATCTTTGCCAACTATTAGATCATAACCAGGAAAAAATTACTAGTAGAGTGGCTTGACACAAGAATGTGAGAGAAAAAAATTAAAAATCACTATGGATTTTTCCAAGCCTTGATTGGACCATTGCATGTGACATCACATGGAGTCCAAGTGATGTAAGCTAGATATCAGCCAATAAAAGGGCGCCACCTAGGGCTGGGTTTTGTCTTTGTACTTCAAAGAAGCAGTTGGTTGGTGGGAGAGCAGTTGGATTCAGTTGCTTCTGCTAAATTTGGACTTTTCAAAGCCTGTTGGATCTCGACTTAGTGAGTATATTTCCCAGGCTTTCAGTTTGGGCTTTTGTATCTATTTGGTATCTATTCATTGCTTTATTTACATCTTTGGTTTGGGTTTTGATTTGTGCCTGTAAATGCTTTTTCCTTATTTTACCTCATTTTCCTTTTATCAATTTCTTTATAATTTTTGCCTTTGTTCTTTTGGAATTTACACATATAGTGGTATATATTATCTCTATAGCATGAGGAATTTGATCATGACTTCCTATATCTGATTATTTTGCATTTTGATTATATTTACATGCTCTATTTCACTTACCCACACATTGAATGTGACAAGTACTTCCAAATGATCTAAGGTTCTTCCCTCTGCTTGTTCAGAATCCCTAGGAAACAAAATGTGACAGTTGTGTTTGTGGAACTGGAACACTTGAAGTAACAGTCTCTCTAGTTCCAAATGTTTTCCTGAAACCGCATTTCATTCCTTTGATGTCTGAATATAGGACTTACTTCAGTGTTGTGTGTGTGTTCTGTTTTGCGTCAATTTGTATGTGTGGACGAATCTTAATGTTCCTGGGTGATCATGAAGTATGGTCTTAATGTGTTGTTGAATTTGGTGTGAGCTATCTCTCATTAAGGATTTTTATAATCTGTTAGTCCAGGATTTCGCCTGACACTGGATTCCGCCTCTTTTTAAGTTTTATTTACTTGGTGTGAGAATAAGGGTAATGCATCTTTGATGAGAAAAATTTGTAATTTCCCTCAGACTTATAGGATACTGAAATATTTGGAGAACATTGCTGTTTTATGTTGAGATGGTAGAATTCATCAGTGAATTGTCCTGGTCACTGTATGAGTCTTTCTTGATACTCAGTACTTTCAGAGTGTTTGTCTAGTTTTATTTCCTAGACTTTAACTTTCCGTTTGACTCATTATTTCCCTCCTTCTTGGATGTATTTTTATTTTTTATCAGGGGGAGGAGGGAATGGCCAGAGCTTACAGAAGGACAGTGATGCATGGACAGATCTTCCTTTCAGACAAAAGGTCATTAGTAAAGATGATCTGGACACTGTGTGGGTGTCTGAAGGAGTTTTATTCCCACCACACAAAGTGTGTCTCTATTAACTTCATGGTATCTGAGGGGAAAGGAGTTGCTTCAACATCAAGAAGCAGGCTTGGTTAATATAAGACCTATGCTACATGACAGAGGATGGGATCTGGAATTTAGGCTACTTGAAGAGCTCATTGATTATATTCACAGGGTGGATGGGAGAGATATGTTCAATGTGTGACTGTGTGACAGCAATGAATCTGTCTTGGCTTCTGGGAAAGTAACAGGAGTGGGGTTGGGAAGGATAGCAGCCCTCTCTGCTAAGGGCATTTCCTTGGGAACAAGAATGTGAATGGAAAAAAATTAATAATTTAACAGAAAATAATTTTAAAAAATCACTGTGGTTTTTTTCCGAGCCTTGATTGGTCCATTGCATGTGACATCACACGGAATCCTTGTGATGTATGCTAGATACTAGCCAATAAAAAGGCACTGCCTAAGGCTGGGTTTTGTCTGTACTTCGGAAAATCTGTTGGTTGTTGGGAGAGCAGTTGGACTCTGTTGTTTCCCATATACTTGACCTTTTCACTGACCTGTTGGATCTGGACATAGTGAGTTTGATTCCCAAGTTCTCAGTTTGCGATATTGTCAATTGTTTAATTATTTCTTTATTTACATTATTGGCATGGGTAGTATTTTTTTTTCAGTAATTCCTTTTTCTTCATCTCAACTTATTTTCCTTCTATCATCTTCTTTTCTGTGTCATTTTTGGCAGTGTTCTTGTGTATTTTACAAATTTATTGTTATATATTAAATTCATAGGATGAGGAATTTGATCATGACTGACATCTGGCTCTACTCTATTTTGATCATATTTATCTGCTACATTTTACTTCCTGACCCATTGAATTGGACAAGTACTTTGTCAAAGGGTCAAGTCCCATTGAATTGGACCCCTTATACAAAGGCTATCCCCCTGCCTGCACATGACCTACAGTGAACAAAATGTGACACTTGTGTTTGTGGAACTGGCATGTTTGTAGTAACACTTTCAATAATTCCAAGTTTTTCCTGAATTAGGCATTCCATTCCACTGATGTCTGATTTAGGACTTACCTCAGTGTGGTATGTATGCTATGCCCTTTGGCAATTTGTGTCTGTGGACGAATCTTGAGTGTTCCTGGTTAAAGATGTCTTGATCATGAAGTCTGGTCTTATTAATGTGGTGTTGAATGAGGTGAGCTATCAATTATTCTCATTCAGGTTTTTTCTAATCTGTCATTCAAGGATATTGGCTGATACTAGGATCTTTTTGAAATGTCTTATATGGTTTGGAAATTGGGGTAATATTTCTTTCATGAAATGTGCTTGAAAGTGTGCCTTCCCTCCATTTTATGGACTTCTGAAATACTGCAGATCATTGCTGCTAGTTGTTGAGATTGGACAAGTTGATTTCCACTTTGTTAGTTTTGGGTTCTGGGATTTAGATTTGCTGCTTCATATTTATATTTATGTTTTTCGGTTTTCTTTATATTTATTCTTCTTTTGTACACTACATCCTGACTGCATCCTCCCCTCCCTCCACTCCTCCCAGTTACCCCTCACCTGCTCTCTCCACCAGATCCACTGCTCTTCAGTTTTCCTTGAGAAAAGAGCAGGCCCCAAGGGATAGCAACTAAACATGGGATAACGAGGTTCAAATAGATTATATTTAAATTTTTGTTTTTTTCTTTTTTTTATGTGTAAATACTTTTGAAGAAACATTTAATTTTTTGTTCTTAGAGAATTTCATTTTATTTTTATTATTATAAATTTTTCTTTTCATTTTACATACCAACCACAGATTTCCCCGTCCTCCCTCCTCCTACTCCCAAGCCTCCTCCCAACACACCCCCCATTCCCACCTCCTCCAAGGCAAGGTTTCACATTGGGAATTAGCAGAGACTGGTACATTCAGTTGAGGCAGGTCCAAGCCCTGCACTAAGTCTGCACAAGGTGTCCCACCATAGACACTGAGTTCCAAAAAGCCTGCTTATGCACCAGGCATGGATCCCAATCCCACTGCCTGGGGGCCCCCTAGCCAATTCAAGCTAAACAGCAGTCTCTCCTACCCAGAGGGCTTAGTCCAGTCCCATGGGGGCTCCTCAGCTATTGGTCCACAGTTCATATTTCCTCTACTTTGGCTAGTTGTCTCTGTGCTTTTTTCCATCATGATCTCAATGTCTCTTGCACATAGTATCCCTCCTCTCTCTCATTGATTGGACTCCTGGAGCTTGGCCTGGCCTTGGTTGTAGATATCTGCCTCTGCTTCCATCAGTTACTGCATGGAGGCTCTATGATGACAGTTAGGCTATTCACTGTTCTGATTACTGGAGTAGGACAGTTCAGGCACCCTCTTGACGATTGCTAATAGTCTACGGTGGGGTCATCTTTGTGGATTCCTGAGAACTTCTCTAGCACCCTGTTTCTCTCTATTCCAATGATGTCTTCTTTTATTGTGTTATCTCCTTTTTTGCTTTCCCACTCTGTCCTTTTTCCAGCTCACTCCCCCCATTCCCTTATGTTCTCATCCTCCATTCCTTGCCCTCCATTACCCCAACTAACCCCCAGTTTGCTCATGTGGATCTCATCTATTTCTCCTTTGTTGGGCTATCTATGTGTCTCTCTTGGCATCTTCATTGTTAGCTAGCTTCTCTGGAGCTGTGGGTTGTAATCTGGTTAACCTTTGCTTTGCATCTAGTATCCACTTGTGAGTGAATACATACCATGTTTACCATTCTGAGTATGGGTTATCTCTGGATAAATTTTATATACGTTCTCATAAGCAATTGCATGATACATTTCCATACATGCCTATACTGTACTTTGATCATGTTCCTCTGCACTATGTCAGTCCCCCACCATATCTTTATGTCTGATACTGTGACTTTACACAAGCCTAGGCCTCTCCTTCCTGTGACCAGGAGAGACAAAGTAGATCCTGTTTCTGTTTGTGGACCTGCCTTGTCTCCTAAAAACTATATTTAGTTTAGCTACTTACCTTATAGCACAGCAGTTCTCTAGTCACTGTGCTGAGTGTGGATTCTTCCCACAATCTCCTTATGTGCTATGCTGTTGTTCCATTTGTTACAAATGTTACTTCTGCCATTCTGACCTTGAACAAAGGCTCTTTAGTGTGTTGCTGAGATGGAGGTGAAGAATGAGGGACTCTCATGAATGATTTTCACATCTATGTTCTTCAAAGAAAGGAGCTCACACTTGTTCCATTTGTTGAGCTTACTTGGTGGTGGGATCAGGCTAACACTGGCACAGGGATGAGTTTGGATGTGTTCCTTTGCTTTTTCTTTCTTGAAGTATTTTCTATAACCCTGGTCTTCATTCTTCTGCAAAGCTTTGAATGATTCAGGGAATCCATGAGATCTGGGCTCTGCCTTGTTTGGAGCTGTTTTTGTTGCCAATCCACACTGGTGTTTAGGACTTATGTGTTTAAGTGTTTTTATTTTATTTTTACTCAATATTCACACATGTCTAGGAATTCCTTTCATATTTTATAACTTTCTGGAGTATAAATACTGTAATGTCCTAAGGACCATCTGGACTGTAGTTGTATCAGTTACAACATCGATTTTTCTGTGGTGTTATTTTTATCTGACTTCTCTTTGTTTGCATCGTGGCACATCTGTGAACAGAGCAGATCATTCTTTCAGGATTCTCAGGATTTTCCTTTGCATACCAAATTTACTTATACCAACTCTGATCTTTCCTATGATTTCTCATCCACTGCCTTAGGTTTGGGTTCTTCTAGTATTTTTATATCCTTGAAGAGCATCATTAGATTGTTTGGGATATCTCAATTTCATAACAGAGAATCCATAGCTATGTCCTCCCCTTCTAAAAGTGCATTAATCTTTTTCTTTTAGCATTGTGTGGGGCTGAGATTGCCCTCAAGATAAAGTGGTTGAAATTGAGCAGAACACCATGGGCAGCCACATGGAAGAGGACTATCTTGAAAAGGATTTCAGGATGTTAACATCTCTAGGTTGTGGTTCCTTCGGGGAGGTGAAGCTGGCCTGCCACCTTCCCACACATACACAAGTGGCTGTCAAGGTCCTTGA